TCCTGGGAGGATTTCTGGGCTGGCTCAGTCTGTTTGGAATGGAGTAAACGCTGCTGGTGTGTGAGCCAGAGGGGCTGGAGCGACAGCCTGGCCCTGTCGCTGCTCCTCCAGGAAGTCCAGAGCACTTAAGCGTTGTCTGGTGTTGGGCTCTATGGGGTAGCTTCATAGAACCATGGAATAGTTTGTGTTGGAAGGGACCTTAAAGCTCCTCCATTTCCAACCCCTGCCACGGGCAGGGACACCTTCCACTAGAGCAGGTTGCTCCAAGCCCCTGTGTCCAAGCTGGCCTTGAACTTTTTTTTTATGGGGCAGCCACAGCTCCTCTGGGCACCCTGTGCCAGCGCCTCAGCACCCTCCCAGGGAAGAGCTTCTGCCTCAGAGCTCGTCTCAATCTCCCCTCTGGCAGGTTAAAGCCATTCCCCTTGTCCCGTTTCTTGCCCAAAGCCCCTCTCCAGGTTTCCTGGAGCCCCTTTAGGCACTGGAGCTGCTCTAAGGTGTCCCCTTCAGGAGCCTTCTCTTCTCCAGCTGACCCAGCCCAGCTCTCTCAGCCTTCCAAGACACTTCTTGCTTTTCCTCTTCCACGTCCCATATGGAGACCGTGCTCAGGCAGAGCTTTCTTCCTGTCATCTACAGCTTGCATCTGACCTGCACCCTGGCAGGACCTTCTCTTTGATAGCCATTACCAAGCAGTCGCACTCATGCCCCAGGCTGTGGCTGCCCCATCCCTGGCAGTGTTCAAGGCCAGCTTGGACACAGGGGCTTGGAGCAACCTGCTCTAGTGGAAGGTGTACCGGCACATCGCACGGGGTGGAGCTGGAGGAGCTTTAATGTCCCTCCCAACACAAACCAGGCTGGGATTCTATGGTTTGGGCACCAGAATTTGCAGTGCTAAAGGAGATAATCCAGTGGTGACCTTGGAGACCCTCATCACAGCCCCAGCACAGAAACCCTGCCCCAAACCACCACAAAAAGACTTTGTTGAGCTCCCTGAGCCAGGCTGTGGCTGTGGGATGGAGCTGTCCCTCTCTCTCCAGCCCCTGTGCCACCCACTGTGTGTCTCTTCCCTGCAGGTTCCCCTGGAGGACCATGTCATCTACTCGGGCAACCTCTTCCACTACATTGAGGAGAACAAGAAGTGGAGGAACCGCTTCTGCGTGGTCCCACACAACTACGGCTTGGTCCTCTATGAGAACAAACTGGTGAGGGGCATCACCCATCTCTGCTGGGCACAGCTCCACAGGGGGACACCCCATCATCACCCCGCATCATCCATGACCATATTTCTCTGCTCAGGCCTATGAGCGGGACCTGCCACCCCGTGTGCTGATCAACAGTGCTGGCTACAGGATCCTCACCACGGTGGACCAGTACCTGGAGCTGGTGAACAGCAGCCTGCCTGGTTAGTGCTCCTGGCGCCTGCAGGGTGAGGAGGGATGCTCAGGGTCCCCTGCACTCCAGTGCTGCTGGGCATCCCTTGGGGACCTTTGGTAAGGGGTGATTTTGGGGTGTAGCATCCTTGGGGACCTTCTGAAAGGGTGGGTTTTGGGTGTAGCATCCTTGGGGACCTTCTATAATGACTGATTTTGGGGTGTAGCATCTCTGGGGACCTTTGGGAAGGGTTTCACACTGGAAATAATGATTATCTTTTATTTCATTTTTTTTTAATGTAATTTTCACTTCTGATTTCCTTTGTGGAAGAATTTGCACTTAGTTTGCCCATGTTTTTGGTAGAACTCACAGCCAAGGCACTGGGAAGGAGCTGAGGGATGTTGTGTGCCACTGCTGCACCCCCAGCCCTACATCCCCATCCCTGCTCTGCTCCTCACAGCATCCTCCCCTCTTTGGCAGGTGTGACACCCAAATTGGGGCAGACCCCCATCTTTAAGTGCCCCACGGATTTCCCCCTCATTCTTTGGCACCCCTATGCCCGGCACTATTACTTCTGTGTGATGACAAGCAAGGAGCAGGAGAAGTGGAAGGCAGTGTTCCAGGACTGTGTGCGGCACTGCAACAACGGTGAGGGATGCTGGGGTGACAACATGTGGCTCTGGGGTGGTGAAAGCATCTTCCTCCTGCTCCAACCAACACTCGCACTGGTTGGGGTGAGTTTGGGGCCAAAGGGGATGATTTGGAGGTCAAGAGGAGGAATTGGCTGAGCATCATTGATCATCTCATTGTCTCTGTGAGTGAGGGTGGGGAGAGGGAGGGATCATAGAATCATGGGATGGTTTGGGCTGGAAGGGACCTTAAAGCTTCTCCAGTTCAAACCCCTTGCAAAGGGCAGGGACACCTTCCACTAGAGCAGGTTGCTCAAAGCCCCTGTGTCCAACCTGGCCTTGATGTACAGCAGCATTCCTCACACAGGTGGTGTCCAGCCTGGTTTCCCTGGAGCCTGGGTGCCCCTGGCTGCTCTGGGAATGTCCCTTGTCCTGTATGATGCCTTGTGCCCACCACACTGGCTGTTGTCCCTGTTTTAGCTGTGATTTGGGCAAAAAGTGGCTTCAGACCCACATTCCTTCTTCAGTTTGCCCAGCAAGAGGGGATTATCCTGTGCTATGGTGCAAAGTTGAGGTGCAGCATCTCTCCCCAGTGCTGGGTACTCCCATCCCACGGTGCACCATTACCTCAGGCTAGGGTCCAGGCTCGGGTGGTTGCTTTCCATCCCTGACAAGGGGAGCTCAGACCAGTGCTTAATAACCATGTAGTAATGAAGCAAACTCATTACATCTCCCCTGTGAAGTGGCACCGTGGCTTCCTCTAACCAGCCCTGTCTTGTGCCTGGGCACAGCCAGGGATGAGTGACCCTGATGGGGTAGATCCTGCCCTGTTCTCTGTTTTGGAGGAGGAGGTTTGGCCGTGGGAGCTCTGGTATGGTATGAAGCCCTTACCAGGGTATTAAGCCCACACCATAGCGTGAAGCCCATATGAGGCTGCCCTATCAGGGAGGTGGATGCTGAGTTGCAAGAAGCCGAGGATGGAGAAGCTCCAGCCCCTGAAATCTCCCACCAAGCACTGAGAAAGGCTCAGACTTGACTTTCTCAGTGTTTTTTTCCCCTCTGTATTAAGCTGCCCCTTAGGAAAAGCTGCTTAGTCTTGGAGTTCAATGTAATCATCTTAGGAAAATCTGTGTGCATTGGAGGAGATCTGCTCCCTTCCCCGGGCTGGGGAGGAGAAACCAGCCCTGGCTCCATCTTCACAGCTTGCTGGGCGGTCCAGGGATGCGCTGTGACCTTCCACTGTCATCCCATGCTCCTGGGCCATGTGCCAGTGGGCTCCTGCCCATCCATTGCCCCATTTCCTCTTCCTCCCCATGCGCTCCCAGCACCCTGATAGGTGACTCATTCCCAACATGTGCTTTCCTCTTCTTCCCCACATCCCGCAGGGCCCTCTCCTTCCTCCAGCCTCCCTGGCTGCCCCATCCTGCTGGTGGGGCCCCATAGAGCATGGGGAGTCACTGAGCCCCCTCATCCTGCCCAGCCCCTGCTCGTGGTTCCTCCCTGCCCTTGGTGTGCAGACAGATTGGGACCCCTTCCAGCCACTGGTGTGTCTGGAGACTGCTGCCCCCAACCTGGTCAGAGGCTTGGGATGAGATGTCCTAGTCCTGGTGAGAGCCCCAAGCTCCTTGTGTGGGTCCACGGGTGTGGAGGACAGAAGGGACCCCTCAAAAGTGGGTTGTGATGCTGCAGCATCTCTCCACGCTCGATCATCCCCCATCCCCTTCATCCCTCATTTCCAGGCATCTCTCCAAAGTGGAGGCTCCAGCCTTCACGGAGGCAGTCCGCATGTACCGCCAGTCGAAGGAGCAGTACGGCACGTGGGACATGCTGTGTGGCAACGAAACCCAGGTGAGGTCCCCTGCTCCCCCCACGGCCCCAGCGCAGGGATGCGGGATGAGCAGGGCCCCCACAGCCTCCTGCCCTTGCAGGTCCTGAGCAACCTGGTGATGGAGGAGCTGCTGCCCGAGCTGAGGAACACCATTGGGCCCCGCCTGAAGGGCAAAGCGCAGGAGCGCCAACGGACATGGATCCAGGTACGGAGCTGCTGGGCAGTCACCAGCGCCTGCACTGCCTCTGCTGCACCCTGCACTGCCTCTGCTGCACCCTGCACTGTCTCTGTTGCACCCTGCACTGCCTCTGCTCTGTGCCAGAGCCAGCACAGCCACCCGCATCCCCCTTTGCTCCCTAAGAAACCATCTTTACTCTCCACCATCCTTGTTCCCCACTGTCCTTATCCTCCACTGTCCTTATTGCCCTCTGTTCTCATTCTCCACCATCCTCATTCTCCTCCAACTCTATTCCTGCCCTCGTCCTTATTCCCCTCCATCTTTACCCCCCTCCATCCTTATTCCCCTCCATCTTTATCCCCCTCCATCCTTATCCCCCTCCATCCTTTATTCCCCTCCATCCTTACTCTCCATGCTGTCTCCTTGCTGTCCCCCAGCAGCCCTGCCTGCACTGCCTGTCCCTGGGGGGGAAGCAGGCAGGAGGAAGCCCAGCCCTGGAGCAAAGCCCATCCTGGCTATATTTAGTGAGCCATTTTTAGAACAGCAAAAGCTAAATCCAGGCTGAACCCTTGTGAAAGACCAAGGGCTCTTTCTAAGTGCCTGTTAAATCCCTAAGAGCTGATGGATAATTACCAGCAGGCCTGGAATGTGCCTCCGGAGCAGCCTAAAAACGACCAAACGCTGCTTTTCTAGGAGCTGTGGTTGTAGCTGCAAAGCTGGGAAGCCCCAGGGAGATGGGGGTGTGTGTGTGTTAAGGGGGTGGCCCTGCCTTCTGCCAGACCCAAAATCACTGTGTGTGAAAAGCAAAGTGAGTGTGAAGCCTCAATGAGCAGCTTCAACCCCATCATGGGGGTGGGCTCCTGAGACCCCAGGGATGGAACAGCCTTCAAATGGGGTCATGGGCTCTCATGCCTGGACTGCCAGCCCCCCATCCCTGCAGCATCCTCATCCCTGTAGCCACCCCATCCCTCCATCACCCTCATCCCTGCAGCACCCCCATCCCTGCCTGGAGTTTGAGGCAGATGCTCAGCTCTCTGCCCCTTGGGCACCACTTTGGACCATCTCTGCTCCACGGGAGCTTCATCTTCCCCAGCTGAAGGGTCCTTGGTGTCAAAATCTCCTGTCAGCCTGTGACAAGGGGTCTGGTCAGGGCATGGTGAAGGCTTGGCAGGTCCTGCAGACATCTGTTGCTGGAGGTGATGGTTAGTGGGGCAATACAAGACATGGGCAGGGCTGCCGACCTCCCCATCTTGCCCTCTCCAGATCTCAGATGCTGTCTATAGGATGGTCTATGAGCAGACCAATGCTCAGTATGACGCAGCAATGGCCAAGTGCGAGCAGGAGCGGCCCCAGATGGAGAGCACTATCCGCACGGACATGGACCAGATCATCACCTCCAAGGAGCACCTGGCCAGCAAGATCCGAGGTACAGCCCTGGGGGAGACAAGGATGTGGACATGGATGTAGCTGTGTCCGTGACCAGCTCCTGGTGTGGCATTGCTGCTGCTTCACCAGAAGGTGCCTGGGTGCACGTCCTCATCAGCATTGTCCTAAAAGGTGGGGGACAAGGTGGGCAGTGGATAGGAGCAGGTTCAATACAGACTGAGGGCCCTCTGCATGAACACCCTGTGTTGTCCTGCAAGGCTGGAAGCTTTCTCCTGTAGGGGCTTGTGGAGAGGGGCATGTCTTTGGGGTGGGCTTAGGACCTGATCTGAAGAGCTGGAAGGGACCTCACCATGCTCATCCCTGCTTTCTGGCCAGCATTTGTCCTCCCCAAAGCGGAGGTGTGTGTCCGTAACCATGTCCAGCCCTATATCCCCTCCATCCTGGAGGCCCTGATGACCCCCACGAGCCAGGGCTTCGCCGAGGTGCGGGAGGTGTTCTTCAAGGAGGTGACGGACATGAACATGAACATCGTCAATGAAGGTGGCCTGGAGAAGCTGGTGGAGGTGAGTCCCTGCTGGCTGGTGGGGTTGGGGGTGGCAGGGCCAGTCCTGCTGCATCCTCAGTGTAGGCAGCACGAGGGGATCCCAGGATGAGGAATTACCTGGGGATGAAGCCCCTGTGCATGGAGAGGTTGTCCTGCCCTGCTGAGCCTGGCTTTGTCCCCAGTACATGGAGAAGCTTTCCCACCTGGCCTTCCACCCGGTCAAGATGCAGTCGTGCTATGAGAAGATGGACCAGCTGAAACTGGAGGGTCTTCAGCAGCGATTTGATGTTACCAGCACATCTGTCTTCAAGCAGAGGGCCCAGATCCACATGAGACAGGTGGGATGGCGACCAGGGTCCCCCTGTGTCCCCAGGCTGGTCTGACCCAGGGATTTGGCTGCCCTGTCTCAAGGACCTTCATGTCATTGGCACCCAGTTAAGGGTGTGTGATGGATCTGGCCATTCCCTTTGGTCTGGAGCCTGATCAGAGGGGCAGTCCATGGCAGCACCATGGGGCATCCTTCTAACTCAGCACCCAGACTTGGGCATCACAGCACAGTTGCCCCTTTGCCACCAAGCCCAGTGGCACCAGCAAACCCAGTAGCCCAACTCTGGGGTCTAACCCAGCCAAACCTGGAGCGGGGTGTAGGGGAAGGGGATGCAAACCATCAGGGTGGAGGGATAGTCCCTTTGGGTCCCCATGTGCTGACCACCTGCCTCTGCTGACAGCAAATGGATGATGCTGTGTACACATTCGAGACGCTGCTCCACCAGGAGCTGGGGAAGCTGCAGGGCAAGGACGACCTGTGCAAGTCCATCCAGCGCATCCTTGAGAGGGTGCTCAAGGTGAGGGGTGTGGATTGGGGCTTTGGTGGCGTTCAGTGGCCTTGCGCCAAGGGATGGGATCCTGCCCCCCTGCTGTGCTCTGGGGAGACCCCCCCTGCAGCCCTGATCCAGCTCTGGGGCAACAGCACAAGAGGGACGTGGAGCTGCTGGAGCGAGGCCAGGGGAGGCCCCAGAGCTGCTGCGAGGGCTGGAGCAGCTCTGCTCTGGAGCCAGGCTGAGAGAGCTGGGCTGGGGCAGCTGGAGAAGAGAAGGCTCCTGAAGGGGACACCTTAGAGCAGCTCCAGTGCCTAAAGGGGCTCCAGGAAACCTGGAGAGGGGCTTTGGACAAGGGATGTAGGGACAGGACAAGGGCAATGGCTTTAACCTGCCCGAGGGGAGC